TTTTTGCGCTCTGGATTTTTATTTTATTTTCAATTCGACGGTTATGATGGTTTTTTTATTTTGCCTTTTTTGGGGCTGAAAAAAGAAGATTTGAGAAAAAAGAAGACGTCGAATGGTAAGTTTAATTTTATTTTACAGGTTAGTTATTTTATCCCCCCTCACTATTTTTTAGGGTGAGGGGGGTAGGTAGGGACTTGTTTTTTTTTGGGTGGGGGGTGGGTGACTAGGGGCTTGGGGACCCCTAGTCACCTTAGGGGGGGGGTAATTGACTTAGGGCCCCCACCAGCCGCCCAGGGTAGCTCAAGTGGCAGGTCCCCCTCATCTCTTATGGCCCCCACCCGCCGCCCAGGGCTGGGGGCAGGTACTGCCCCCCCCTCATTCTCACTATGGCCCCCACCCGCCGCCCAGGGGTGGGGGGAGTACTGCCCCCCCCTCATTCTCACTGTTTAGGGGTGGGGGCCAATAGTTGTTTTTTGTTTTTGTTTTGTTTTTACAGTGAGCAGCCACAGGCTGCTCACTGTTTAGTGGACATGCCCCTACTCACAGTATAGCGAGTAGGGGCATTTGGGAGATTTTTATCTCCCTTGTGCTATTATGGGGGTCATATTGACCCCCATAGAGTGAGAGAGGGACCTGGGGGGGCTTATGAAGTGGTGGGGAGCACTGCTCCCTGCCGCTTCTATAGTTACATATTACAAGGAGGGAGCTGCACGCCGGTAGCTCCCTCCTTGTAATAAACTGAACGAACAAACAAACACTGATACGTTGTGTTAGTTTGTTTGTTCGGCTGATATTTCTATTCACTCATTCGTCTGTCTGATGAATGAATGAATAGCTGAAATTCCCATTCGCATGTCCAGGTGTTTCACTGGGCATGTGCGGGAATCTCAGTGTCTGCCTAGTGTGGGCTGATGACGTGTCCCACAGGGACTTCATCTACCCACACAAAGATGGCTGCGCCCTGAATATAGATCGGGGCAGAAAATAAGGATTAAAAAATAGGTAATGTGGGGGGCTTAGGGGCATTTGGGGGTGACTAGTGGGTCAATTGGATGTAGTGGAGGCGGGAGAGGGGTTAAAAAAAAAACTGAATTCGCCATGACAGTATATCTTATATATATATATTATTCTTATTCTTATTATAGCCAAATTTACCACCCTAACTCCTCCCACAGTTTTTACACTACATAGACAGTAATATACCGAAACGTGCGCATTATTCCTGATTGGATTGCTATTACTTTGTGGAATGTTTCGCGGAATGGTTCACGGAATATCGTCGTTCTTGTGGCGAAATTGGTCCCATAGGAATGAATGGCAAAATGTTCAAAACTAGAGTGGGAGCTGGCAAAAGCTGAAAAATCAGGACATGATGATTTCTAAACTGCCACCACTCCCTCATTGTCAAGCCCACCTACACAAATCTTATATCAAAACGTTCAGCTATCCCTGCTGCACTAAAAATGTCCACAACTAAGCCATAGTCCTGATAGTTTTCACAATATGACCATTTGTTTGAAACTCATGCCGTCCATTGACATTCATTGAAACTCCACTCTAGCCAGCTCAAACTAAAAGGGAAATTTCTAAACTGCGACTGTGCCTTCATTTTTAATACTTCAGAGACATACTATGGTCTGCGTCTTGTGATTCTCACAATATAAAGCTCTTCGCTGTAGGATGTATAGTTTTTAAAATACGACCGTTTGAAGATGGCAACCGACAAAATACTCTGACCTGTGCCAGGCTGGAGCAGCAAGTGATGTCATAGGTAGGGCCTTTTGTACACCTGCTAATGTTTTTATAAATGTATGTTTTAATGTAACTGTGAAGCACTTTTGGCAACAACATTGCAATTAAATGTGCTATATAAATAAATAATAACAGTTACTCCACCCACTCCAGTTGTAGACGTCTGGTGGAGGCAAGAACACTTCACACAATTTCCCCAGAAATTGTAGCTTTTCTAGTTTTAAGTGATTTCCCTATCCACATTTGTTTGCAGGGCACTTGTCCTACTCTTACCCCCATTTTACTTCCTTTTGCAGCCCTCTAGCCCTTTCCAGGACTTTTTTAGAGGCATTTTAGTGCCCAAAGGTTTGGGTCCCCATTGACTTTCCATGGGGTTTGGGTTCGGGGTCAAATTCGATCCCGAACCAGTTTCTTTTTTTTCTTTTTAAAGGTATCTAGCTTATGGTCCCCCCTCATTATTTTTAGGATGTGGGGGGTAGTCAGGGGTTATTTTTTGGGGGGGAGGATGGTGATGGGGGGGGTTTAAATGTTTATTTAGGGCCCCACCCACCGCCTAAGGGAGGGGGTCAGGGGGGGGGAGGACAATAGCCCCCCCTTATTCTA